GAGCTGATAGGTACTTCCAGAATAAGCCATTCGAATTCAACCGTATTTCTTCCCTAAACCTATCAGCGTTTGTTTTTCTTTAATGGCAAATAAACCGGAAAAGGTTAAAAGATCTAATATACAGCCATGCTACAAGACACTGGAGTGGTGTAAACAGTCTGCGCCCTCACACACATAACAGGCCACTTACTAATACTTTTGTAAATTTCCACCTGCAGAGTGAAGCTTATAGAACTAAATATGAGCATATACTTCTGTGCAAAAGTCAGATATCCTTCCTTAAATAACGAAGGAAAGTGGGGTTTACTTATCTGGCTGATTTTCCACTGAAGCTTATTAAATAATGTCATATTTTCTACCCCGCTGACGGAGCTGGGGGGCAATAAACCTCCTGGTGACTCGTGGTTTACTTATCATAAATAGCTGGAGTGTGTAACATTTTCAAGCACTCCACATAGAGTCATTAAGCAACACCTGATTATGCTGCTGCTTCTAGAAGAACACCACACTTGCTCCCCTTTGACATTTCTTCCCCCTGAAGGAGAAGAAGGGTTCATAATTGTGTTTTACCAGCAATTAACTTTTCCTTGCATCGGCACTCTCTTCCTCTGTTAAGACTCACAGTATCCAACATACTGACACAAAATTCTTGCAGACTGCTTGATTTTTTGACTAACAATCCACTCGACCAGAAATACTGCAATTTAAAATGTGCTTCTTACAACAAGGCTCCCAAATTCCCAATATAGAGTCAGACGAACCCCTAGGAAAAACGAGTTTGAGGGTAAATATCTACTGCCATTAAAAATATTCCTCCATTGGAATCCAGGAATTTGTCTCTAAGAAGGAAATAGAACTGTTTTGTGGCTTAGGTAGCTCTCTGATCACCAGGTAATGTCACCACCCTAATTATTCATTTTAGGCTTGGTTCTAGAACTGCAGTCTGGAACAGCAGATTTGGTTTGAGTCCCATTAGCAGAGGTTTGAAAAGAAACCTGAATAACATGGATATCTGCAGCATATTGTTCTTGCCAGCCCTGCCCGAACTGCCTTTTCAATGAAAGCTGATCCACTCTCCTCAGCACGTGCTCTTCAAGAGTTCATTTGCATTTCTCATCCTATCTCAAGTAAAAAGTACTGTCCTGAGAATCCATAAGCACATCAAAATCCTGTAACAGCCAATGGATGTTAGAAATCTGTAGCTTGAGGCAGCAAGATGTGACACCCGAAGAGTCTTATAAAAGTTACCATGCATTTTAAACACCACACTATTGCTAAAAACATCAAAAATGCAAAGAACTGGCAAGCATAAAACAGCATGCCAAGGGTGCAATGTCTGACGGAGCAGTCTAAGCTTAATTACTGGTACCAAGTCAAGCATTCTGCTACAATCCTAAGAATACACTAACTTCAAGGCCCTATTAATTTGAATGCACTAATGTTGCAGAAAGGTACCTACCAACTAAACGTGCGATCCGTACACGTGAATGACAACTACAGGTGGGCATTCCCATTTGCAAACAGAATACTTCTCTCCTAATTCATAAATTCATAAATTCATAAATCAATGCATAGCTTACCTGGAAATAGCAGCAATGTTACCTGATTTTAATGTCAAAATTCAGAAGGCCTAGACAGTTCTCATCCAAACTCATAAATCTTACCAGGGCTTTTAGACTTTTTACCTTCATCCATGGGAACAAAAAATTTCAGTTTGTACTTTTTAATACACCATTTTTATATACATATATATAGGTAGATATTTTTCAGATAAAACCTGGTTGTCCCACACATTCATTTGGCACTGTGAGCTGAGGCTTTAAAAGAAAAACCTGAAGTGTACAATTAATAATAAAACCCTGCCATGTTTTCATTAGTGTACTTCAAACATGGGCAGACAGATGTCTAATGGTTAACAAGGATCTGTGGCTACTTCTGCCTTGAAATGCAAAGGCCACCTCACTTTTGGGAAAAGACACAGGGCAGAGCAGAAGAGGGAGCCTGACTGAGTCTGCAAATATGCTCATTGGTTTTGCTCCTTGTGATAGCTTGATGTGGAAAAAAAGAATGTATGTTCTACACATCAACAGTGGAAAAAGTCAATCTGTGTGAGAAGGGACAGGCATTTAGAAATACTGATCAATGGGCTACAAAAAGCAGTTTGTTGCCCAAAGCAAACGAAACATTTCTAAAGGTTGATATTTTTGCTGCTACAGCCAAAAAGATGCAGAATAGAAAAATGCATGACCGAAGGTACGAAAATGTACTATATTCTACCTTTTCAAAAGCAGAAGTAGCAGAGCAGTAGAATGGGAGCAGCTTTCAGGATCTCTACTACCTATGGGGATTCCCTGTACCAATCCGTGTCTTACAGTGCAAGAAAAAACTTGATCACCTCACTCAATTTGGTTCTGCTCTTCATACCTTTGCACACCTCTCCTTTGCCTTTGAGGGTAGGAGGCTGTCACTACTATGCAACAAAGAAACAGAATGTAAGTCAATCTCTGTATCCTACACTTAATTTAAATATTTTGTATTCATTTCTCCTGGCAAAACATAGAGTGGATGAGAAATTAGATCATTATCTATCTCCCCCATCAATAAAAATCTAACATTACTGGAACAGAAAGTTGCAGCTGTATTAACAACAGAGAGCAGTATTGCACACTGGGTTACAAAAGGGAAAGGAAAGCACTACAGGCAATTTCAAGTTAGGTGGGATTTTAATATAATATAGCCAACAAAACAGTGATTTGAAAGGGAGCTCTCAAAGGTCCTAAGCAAAAAATGATAATAAATTTTCCATATAGCCATTTTCAGCTAATTTGGTCTCAGATCTTGTTTCCCAGATGTTTGCTGTTGGTACAGCATTTGTCTACCCTGAATTTAGAAGGGAAATCGTATAATTAAAATTCCAATTCTGTCATGAGTTCTCTATAAGTGTAGCGTTACTGCAGAAAAAATTGTTTCTTAAAGGCCACATTTTAAAACAGAATTATTTGCTTTTCAGAAGTACTTTTTTTGAGCCTCAGGTATAAATCGTCTTTATTTCAGATGACTGAAAAGCATCCAGAGAGGGGAATTCTATTAAAAAAAAAGAAATCAACCCACCCACATTTTAACAGTAGAAATTTAACAAAAGCATCTGAAAAAAAACAATGCAATAAAAAAATCCTTTTCACTGGGGTGATTTTTGTTCCCCTTTGCTGCTAAAAAAGCACTCAAAAATTTCTTCCCCAACCCGAAGACAAGCTTTTATAAATACAAGAGTTTTCAGAAAGGAGAGATTTTCTCCTCAAAATTAAGTTGAGATTAGACAGACTTCTAAAAGAATCACTTTATATGAAAAGGCAGGCACAGAAATCTCTACAGAAAATGAGTTTAGCTTGAGAGTCGAAAATTTTGATCAAGCATTTCTTTGCACAGATGTCATCAATATGCTTTAAGTCTGCTGTTGAGAAACGGATCACGCAGAAAGAGGGAGATGGTGATCCGTCAACTCCTGTTACCGTGAAGTATAAGCTGTCAGTTAATAGAGACCCAGCTATTGCTTTTCCATTAGAAAAGGTAATACTGTGATTTTTTTGAGTGATACTTATGGACAAATTTTACTTGGTGTGCAAAATTGATCAAAGATAGCAAGTGAAAACCAGATAGAAAACAAGGGAACAACTCAAGACATCTTAATCTAATTTACAGTCATCTTTCATGTATATTGCATTGTGGTTGAGGAATCAGGAAAGTTATGAATAAAGAGAAAGTGCTTCTAAGAATTTTTTTTACAGACTTCATTGCTCGAAAATATGTGTTCAAAATAACAACAGAAAAAAAAGGCATTTATTTGGATAGTTTTCTTTCGATTACTACAGAATGAAAATGCACCTTAAAAAGTAATGTATGCATTCATGGGCAAAAAGTAAGGATCAGATTGTGTACAAATACTATTGTACAAATATGCAATCAAAGCACTGGTAAAGTAGGTATTGGTACAATACAGTAAGTATAATATAGCAAGTATATGTGTAAACATAGGTAGCACTTGTATATCATGTGTATGCATACATACACATCACATACAGTCATCATTAGATGAGAATAATGGCACTGTGACTTGTAAGCCATTCTAACTTGAAAGTATTGATGATTTCCTGCTGTTTGACCTGTATTTTTAGTCAGTGCTTTATCCCTGTCAGTGTTTTTTCAATGCTAAAGTGTCTTTACCAATTGCAGTGAGGTTACAGAATATGTAAAAACTGGATTAGTAAACATGAGTAGGAAATAGCCTTTTTCTCACTGACAAAGGTGCAGCACAAAAATAGCTTAAAAGATAACTGCCACTTACTACAGGTTTTCTCATATTTCTTAACATGCTGTGGAAAATATTCAAAATATTTAGTGGTATAGCTCGGTATTGACTAAAAGTTTTACTACAATATACTACGTAATTTAGTCCTGCCCCTTTTCCAACTCCTGTCTTTTAGGAAGGTCACTCAAAGTGTTACTACTCGTGCACATCAGGAACAATTAAGTACAAGACAACAAGCAACACTGTACTTCAGTACCACAGCTCGGCTTCAGCTGTGCAGCAATATTACTGGAGAACCTATAAAAAGCCAATGAACTGTCGTCTTCATAATTCAGGAAAAAAAGCGGATACCGTCAGTCGCTCCGAGCAGCACCCAGACAAACCGTATGTCTTCGCAGAGCTTGAGCTCTTCTCGCTATTGTTGCGCGCTCATTAGGGCGGCTAAGTGCGAGAGGTCGATCGCCAGCCACAAAGGCAACCCGCTAAGGTCGGTCGGCAGCACCCGCGGGGGAACTCTTCCAAAGGAAGTTTGTGCACGGCGATGTTGTCAGCAACCGCCTCGGTAAGAGGACGGACGGGTTTCCCTCCCCTCCTCTCAGACAGGGGCCATCACAGGAGGCAGCCCGGAGCGAGCTCCCCCGCCCCCGGCCAGGGCAGCCTCACCTCCCTGGAAGGCTGCAGCAGCGAGACTCACCTTCGTGAGCTGGGCGATCTTCTTGCACATTTTCACGTGCATTTCCTGACTGCATCCCTCTGCCGAGCTGCTCCGAGCGGCTTTAGATCCGTTGCAAGTCCCTGGCTGACGAATCTTGTTTATGCCAGAGGCCATTAGGCTTGAAATATTTCAATCCAGTCCGTGTACGCTCCGGGCAGGGCGATCCTGCGCCCGCCGCGGGCCTCCCCCGGCCGCTGCGCCCACCCAAACCCCCGTCGTGCCGGGGCAGCTCCAGCCCCCGACACGGCAGGCTCCTGACGCCGCTCTCCCTGCTGCGCAGATGTCCCAGTCCTTCAGCAGAACACTCTGGCGAGGAGGCAGGGAGCAGCATGTGCAAACGTCCTCATCGGGGTTTATTTTTTTTCCCTCCCCTTCTCTTTAAAGGGTTGAGCTTCCGCCAGGAGAAGATGCCAGCGGCTGGGTGCTACAAAATTCCCCCAAGAGACGCTGGGAGCAGCACAGACCTTGCTGGGGATCTGCTATAAAGATCGTCTGCTGATTAAATCATGTTACCTTCCCGGGCTGCCAAAGGATTGCGGAGGTCAGAGGGGTCGGTGTTGGCATCTTTCATAAGCTCTGTTATTTTGGCAATCCTCTCTAAGTCCGGATGGACCAATAAAGTGAGGAAGAAAACCTCGTTCAATTTTTGCTGCTCAGCTGAAAGCAGAACAGAGCAGTTCTTCCAGCTCAGAGGCACACTTGAGCACAGCTGAGCCCAGGAGCGGTGCCCAGGGTCCGGTCCGCCTGCCTTATCCAAAGGGACTGGTCAGTTCCCCTCAGTTTTACTAAAGGAACTGGAAAGTGCCAGAAGAAAATTGACAATACTATTTTTTTCTTTGCCTGTAGACAGTTCCCTCTCTTCAAAGAGATCAGGCTTCTACATGTAAAAATAAATAGGACAGAAAAGGAAGGAAAAAGGGCACAGAAAAGGCAAGCTATTAAGACAAGGAGATTATTAAAAAAATGGTTCAGTAAAGTGTTATGCAAGAAAATGGTTAGTGGGCATGTTTAAACAAGTCTAGAAGAAAGGGGAGGGAGGAGAAGGCAAAGTAGGGTGATGTCAGAGAGATGGAGAAAAGGAAAAGGGAGAAGGAAGAGGTAAGCGAAGGTGAGAGCTGCTCAACATCCCTTTGATGTGTCGCTGCAGCCGGTACAAGAGACCCCATGGAGCAGGCAAGGGCCCCACCTCAGCCCAGGCGTTTCTGCAGCTAGCCAGAGGGGGGACAGGAGGCTGCTGCTTGCCCCCTGCCCCAGGCAGGTAAGGCAGCTTTTCCAGCTCACCTCCTGGAGCCTTTCTGTCTTTCTCGGGCAAGAAGCTTCCACTTTGCCAGTGGTGGGTTTGAAAAAGAGCTTCCTCAGGACTACCAGAATTGGGAGGGAGGATTATCCAGTGTCAGCTGAGGGCAGGGCAAAAGGAAAAAAGGGAGAATCCTCAGCAAAAAAGGGAAATCCTCAGTGAGGGCACAAAGAGAAACTACTGTTAAGAATAAACACTCCAAGGGGAAAAAGATCAAGACAGAGGAAGAATGCCTGCAGGCAGTGGGTAGAAGGAAGAGTGAGAAGATGTAAGAAGAGAAGACCTTGGGACAGAGAAACCAAGCCCTTTAATTGCTGAGAGAAAAGGAGAGACTCTAAATCTCTGGAGGCAGAAAGAATCTTCACTCCAGGAGCAAGAGGAAATGAAGACTGACAGAGAAACTCAGCATAGAAGGGAAAGACCAGGAAGGAAAACAAAGACAATCACAGATGCTGTGAGATGCTAAGCAGGGAAGAGAAGTTTAGCCCAGACGGAACATAAATAAGAAAAGTTTAAGCAACAGAGCCTTGCACACAGGAATGACTAAATATAGTTTCTTCCTTCACTGGAATTAATTTCCAAGATGCTGTCCCCTGTGATTTTTTATATGACTAGGGCATAAGGACATGCCATTGTCAATTGTCTGGTATCTGATAAGACAAATATTCACACTTAAGTTTAATTCAGTTCATATGGTTATAATATCTCCTCTGCATGGTCACCTACTCGAGAAAAAAGTGTAGGAACTTGATTATATGTAAAATTTTGATAAAATTTTGACAAGCTTATTAGGACAATCAAGAGAACACAGAGGGCTAGAGCACCTTGTTTCCTCAGAAATATAACAAAACAGTGAAAATAGAAAGCCAACTAAGAAAAATGCAAAAAGTTTTAAAAGTACTCACAATAAGTTACCTGTGTTATTGTTTTGCTACACAGATAGTAACAAATATTCATGTTTTTTCTGCTGAACAGCAGAGGACACATGGGACCTGAATGCATGGCTGGACAGAGTTGAGACACCTCCACAGGCATAGAGCAGAGGAGCACAGATCTTCAGGTACACTGGGAAAGGAATAAACCACTGAGAAATTTTCAAGCAAGCTGTTTATGTATTTCCCAAGGTTAGAGGGAAAAAAATTGAGGCTTTGCTACAAGTTGGTGTTTTAGTAGAACATAATTTGTCACTGGTAAATTATTCTGAGTCTAGATGAGACTTTTCGGTCAATACTTTGAACACTGGAAAAGTTTGAATCAGACCTCATGCACCAGAAAATGCAACCACATGACGTAAATTGGTAGGTGACTCCAGTTCATTAGTTCCACGACTCAAAAAAACCCGCTTGATTTCAATAACGGAATTTCAGCAGATAATGCCAGAGTTTTTCAATGATTATTTGATCTATTTTTTTTTTAATTGATTTGAGGATCACCTATGGATAAAATTGCACAGCAAGAATGTCACAAAGCATAATGTAAATGTGTACTACACAAATATGGGTTTTGTGAGAAGCACATGGAACGTGTAAGTAGTTTACAGAATGTTCTTGAACTTGAGGCAGTATATGGCAAAAATAGTTTAAAATACAAATTAGAAGTCCAAACAGAAAACACACACAAACACACTTCTGCTTGAGTTATTATTACTGTATTAATGTAAATTATGAGAGAAGGTGGTCATGGCACTACAGTCTTTATAAGTCTATGAGTAACTGTACACAGGTTTATAGCTTTACTGCTCAGACACAATAACTAATTTAACTTTTAATTATTATAACCAAGTCATATATGAGTAAAAGACTATAAGCCTTTTTGGTACCTATTTTTGGTACCTCCTGCTTGTTGAATATGCAGACTACACACCTTCTGAAAACTTTATGACCCCTCTTTGCAGTCCTTCTATCTCAGTCAATTGTGGTATGCATAACAGAGTTTAGAAGCCTTTATTCTACAAACTTCAGTGTTCTTAACCTTTGCATTTGGAAAATCATAGCAGACAGAAAATGCTCTCATATAGTGATAGTCTTTCTCTTATTTTGATGGTGGATTGGGCCATTATTACACAACAAAAGTTAAATGTTCTGTTCATCGCATTCTTCCAGAATTTGTGTTTAGGTCTGGGGTTTTTAATTATATAATATTGAAGGAATATTTACTGTTTTCAATCAATGAGGAAATCAATAGGGCTTCTGATGAGCTTTGACTTGGAATCAAATTCTTTCTCATTTTAGAGATGCATGTAGGGGAACCAAAAATCAAATCACTTTCCCCTTCCATAATGTTTTTATGATGTCTTTCTCCCACTGCCAAAAGAGAAACAACTTGGAACAAAATCTGCATGCAAAGTAAGTAACTTCTGAGTTCTTATCCTTTTTCTATGGTATCAAAGCAATTTGTCATTGCTTAGTTAACATAAAAGCACTTTGTCCTGTCACATATTTAGTTCGTAACGGTGACTCAGATGTCAGAAACGTTCTCTGATAGCTGATCAGTCAATGTCAGTAAATCTTTAAAAAAGCATCGAAGTCAACATCATCAGGATTGGCAAACGGTAAAAAGTACAATTCTGGAGATACAGTTATTACAAAATCCTTACCACCAAGAATATTAGCGTTAAATGGCTGAAACAAATTTCAAGTAGGCTTTCATAATACATATATAAAATTCTTAACATTCTACATGATTTAAACATCAGTATAATTTAAGTGAGGTGGGACTCATATGGATCAAACTCACCTATTTTATCTCACTATCTCAACTGAAAGCCAGGTCCATCAATCCAGCATTATTTATACTTACACATAAATATCTTTGTGTCATAAAATAAGTGTCGTAAGACTAGCTATTATTAAAAGATCCACACACCCCAAATTCCAAGAAATAAAGAAGATATTTCTATTGTAAATGTTTAATAAATAAGTTTGCTCCTTTGTTTAACATATTACAAACAGCTTTCCCAAAACACAATTAATACAGAGCCCAGTTCTTATAGAATCATAGAATCGTTAGGGTTGGAAGGGACCTCAAAGATCATCTAGTTCCACCCCCCCTGCCATGGGCAGGGAAACCCTCCACTACACCAGGTTGCCCAAAGCCTCATCCAACCTGGCCTTGAACACTTCCAGGGATGGGGCATCTACAACTTCTCTGGGCAACCTGTTCCAGTGCCTCACCACCCTCTGAGTGAAAAATTTCTTTCTTATATCTAATCTAAATCTGCCCTCTTTCAGTTTAAATCCATTGCCCCTTGTCCTATCACTACACGCCCTTGTAAAAAGTCCCTCTCCAGCTTTCTTGTAGGCCCCTTTTAGGTACTGGAAAGCTGCAATAAGATCACCCCGGAGCCTTCTCTTCTCCAGGCTGAACAGCCCCAACTCTCTCAGCCTGTCTTCATAGCAGAGGTGCTCCAGCCCTCTGATCATCTTCGTGGCCCTCCTCTGGACTCGTTCCAGTAGCTCCATGTCCTTCTTGTGTTGGGGACTCCAGAGCTGAACACAGTATTCCAGGTGGGGTCTCACGAGAGCTGAGTAGAGGGGCAGAATCACTTCCTTCGACCTGCTGGCCACGCTCCTTTTGATACAGCCCAGGATACGGTTGGCTTTCTGGGCTGCCAGCGCACATTGCCGGCTCATGTTGAGCTTCTTCCACTATTTGTCTGAATACCCGTACTACTGAAGCCAGTGGGATTGTTGGTTTTTTTTACAAAATTTACTTGGGCAAAGTTAAACTGATTCCCCAGATTACACTCTACTGCTGTTTTGCAGTCCAGTAAGATTTGCATTTGAAAATAGTGAAACAACACAGTCATTAACCGTCA